TCGTCTATACCAGCTTTGCTCATCTGGAGAGAAATATTTGCCTACTTTTTTTTTTACAAATAGAACAGCGGAGTGACTTTGGAGAAGACTTTTGAAGTCGTGTCTTACGATGAATGGTATATTACTGCTGCGTTTGTCTCTATGAAGGAAACTACGAGTAAATGTAACATTTTTTTGTCACCATTGCATTTTATACTCATGGCTAAATAAATCAAAGGTTACGCGTAGTACAAAGCAGTAAATGCTGGCTGTGGTTATAAATCTGTATTTCATTGGTTGCAGTTTCTTTGTAAAGTTGTAAGTTTTCAGTCATGCGGTGCAAATATTCGTTCACAGCCTGACATTCCTGATCAAAGTTACACCGTTAAGCCTGGATGCTGTTTGTCTAAAGCCCAGGAAAGATGACACAGATTACCTTTAGAGCCATCGCGTCAGACCTTTACATTTCATCGGACTGATATGTTGACTATTGAATGTTTATCCTGAAAGAAATAAAGTAATTCTGGCAAATCTGCATCCTAAGCAGGAAAGAAAATATTTTATGATATGGGTGTACAAAAAGAGGACAAGGCCAGATGTGTTCAATCGTTGTGGAAAACTGCAGTGTGGACGTCTAATGATGCTGATCTTGGAAAAACAACAGAAAAAGGTGACATCAGAACAGGAACTGGTTGAGAATGAAATGGTTGGGTAGTTTTCAGGACAATTTCTTTAAAACCTGCAGGACCGGTCGCTCACTGTAACTTATGTTTTGGTAAGAAGCTCGTTCTCCATTTCAGGAGATCTTTTTCATTGCTTCAGATAAATAAAGCCGCCTGACAAGAGAACTAAGCTTGTATTTTTTTGTGTGTGTGCATCTCTTCTTCTTTGCTGAAACATGTTGGCTTTAAATGATCAGTCTGGTCCTGGCTTTTTACTGTGATCCTGTTAATGTCCTCAAGATGTTGAAAACCATCATTGTGGTCATGGTGGGGATGAACCTGGTAATTTACTGGGGAAGATGACAGCCAGGGTTCTTGTTTAGTTAGACACTGAGGGGCATCATGTCTGTGGCGTCTTAATGATCTCACTCTTTGTGCGTAGGACAGTCTTCCGTGTCTCCTTTGCCCACAATAATCTGGAGTACTGCTTCCTTTATCCTGGCTAATATACTTTAGTTTTTAGTTGTTTTTAATGCAATTTTAAAGCGGCTAATTAATTTTAAAGCTGTTAATGAACTACAGATAGCACTTCAGAAAGGAACATTTTTAATCCAATTTGTTTATTGGATGATTTAACATACATATATTTTTTAAGTTTTTGCATCTTGCTTACTGTTGAGGAATTTGCACCACAGCATTAGTCTAAGCTTTTGTACTGACATCAGGCAACTTTAAAGAAAAGGGGAGTGGGGGGGGGGAAGCAAGACTCCTTCAACAATGGATTTGTTTCTTGCTTGTTTGCATCATTTTGTGTCTAAAGGCAATAATTTATGTCGGATTGCAGCTATTCAACAACAGTTCCACAAATCATTGAACAAAGTTTGTTTTCTAGACCATGAAAACATTTAAAACATTAATAAACCAATCGAGTTCTTTGCAGAGACAGACTTTTTTGTTGTTGTGAGACGACATTTACAGTGATGGGAAAATGTGTCGATAACTCCGTGTAGAAGGAAGAGGTTGTAAAAGCAACTGGAGCAGCAATAACATAAAGTAATCATTATTATATTTATTATAAATAAATATATTTTATTATATTTTGTGTTATACTTACTTGCTTATATATTATATATATATATATATATATATATATATATATATATATATATATATATATATATATATATATATATATATATATTGCACCATGTGTTTTTCTGCTCAGTTAGGTTGCCATTTGTTCAGTGTTTTTACTTCATTAGTAGTTGAATTTTTTTTGTGTGTGCATCACACAAAATGCAAAAAAAAAAAACTATATATATATATATATATATATATATATATATATATATATATATATATATATATATATATAAACTTACTTGCAAAACAAGCCGATATCTTCAACGTCCAATCATGCCTGCCAGTTGCGTTACTGTTTTCGGTTGCAAACATGGTGCAGGTCATTAAGACACGATAACATCTTTGTCTTATCTCTCCAAAGAAGACTTTTGCAGAAGTCTTGAGGTTTTTTTCTTTTTTTTTTTTTTTTGAGAGGTTTGGCTTGCTTTTGCAAATCTGTCCAAGAAGACACACATGTGACAATAAGCGTGACCTTTTATCAGATATATAGAGATTGTTTTGTTTGATTTTGCCATTTCTGTGAAGGTTGCACGGTCTCAGATTGAAGTGAAGATTAGTAATTGCTTAAAAGGTTTGCCAGTTTGGAAATGGCCTTTTAGTCCCTCTTAGTTTGCTGAGCAGGCAGCAAGAATTGCTCCTTGAAGGTCATGGCTCATCTCCTCGCGTCTTGACATTGTGTAAACTCACATTTAATCAGCGGCTTCGGGCTGCTACTTTCTCATTTAAACTTTGTAGACGGAGCAGATAAAGGTTTTCCCAACACTCACCGAGAATCATAGAAACATACTTTCGCCATGACAGCACCTATAACCATAACGACAGAGTCAAGAAAAATGGAAAACATAATATGGGCGAAGTGAAGACTACCCTTGTTCTTCCTCACTTCACTGAGGCAGACTCTGAGCTGACACAAAGCAAACTCCAGGTATCTTACCCTGCAGTGGATTAGGTTTCTTATTTATCTAGTCTGTGTGACAAAAGCTTTACTGTTCCTCCAGTTAATTGCACTCATTCATTCAAGTGCATCAGCTGTGCCAGGGTGGCTTTAGGTAACAATCCTGTATGACAGAGCTCATGGAAAGAAGAATAGACCAGGGAGCATATTATTATTTAATGTTGTCTTTGTATCACCAGACTAAGAAAAAGTATGTTTTTTTTTTCTCTGGTGATCTTCAAGAAGTTAAGTTGTACCATCAGAAGTTCATATTTCAGGTTCCCACTACGTCATTCGGTAGATTTACTTGCTAATAAAACCCACTAAAGCAGCATGAAACATCAATAATGCCCTGCAGTGTGGGAGCTTTGTTTGGCTCATAGTTTTTGTTCAATGTACAAGTTTCCTTTGGAAAAAGCCATTACCAGGTATCTTGTAGTGCTGAAAGCAAATATAGTGGACCAAAGGCATCACTGTTAAAAATTCTCGCACCCACTTCCAGCTTCAAATTAGAATTCATTCGGGATGTTTTCATGTGTTGATCTTATGCTTTTTGAGTATCTTCTCAATATTGTGTCAATTTTTTGTGTTAAAGTGAACCAAGTGCATTTTTAGATACACTTTCCAGGTTGGCATAAAGATATCAAACGAAACTCTGTATCTAAACCTTCAAACGATTCAAAAACTGGCAGCAACACCAGAGGGTGAATACTCTTAAACAGCGGTGGGAACAAAAGCTGTCCAACAGGTAGTTTGTAGTTATAAACTGACAAGGAGTTCCTGAAACTCTAACGGGAGCGGTGTTAATAGAAAAGGAGACAAGGCAGGTGAGACTAACCGAGCTGTAAACGTTGTGCAAAGAACAATAAAACTGATGCCTCAAGGGAAACTAACTAAACAAACACACAGTGATTGAAAAGGTGTCGGTCGGACACTCAGAGTAAAGAAACAGATATAAACTGGACTCTCCAACTCTCTGAGACTAAAGAACCGTCGTTTGGATATTCTGAGTCAGACATGGGCCTGAAAACCAAACATCATTTGGACACGCACGTTGACATCTAGGTAGCCGTACACCAGGAGGTAGAAGTCACAGCCTAAAGAGAGAAGAATACGTGCCAAGAGCTTTTGAGGAGGTTTGATCTATAGAACCTGACACTGAAAAGGAGTCGCCTGCCAGAGATGTTGAGCAAAGGCCACCGGCCGAACCCGAGTGCAAGAGAGGACTATGGACCAAACTGGGAAGGAAATGTTGGCTGAAGAAAATGCAGTGAATCACATGAGATTAATTACGGGGGTTTATTTAACTTTTATTTCACCAGGAAAATTCCATTGAGATTAAACATCTCTTATGCAAGAGAACGGAGTAAACTAAGATACTGGGAAAAACAGAGAGGAGGAATGATACATATGTGCAACAATCGAAATAAGGAACAAAACAACCGAGTGTTATTGTTGAACCTGCAGCATTTGGAAAGCGTTTGTCAAGTACACGTTCACCTTTTGGTTAGTCTCCAAGTTATAAAAAAAAGGGGGGATGAGGAGTACTGTGAATGAATGAAAAAGATATAGTTGAGCAATCCAATAAAGCTGCTGATTCATTTTCCCTGTTACAACATCCAAGGGCACACACACATTCACACACTGGAGAAGGAAATCTGGTTGACAGCAGGTCGGACATCTGAAGTTAGACATGTTGCAACTGGCGCTCAAAGTGATGCTCTGTATAATTTAGTGTCACTTAATCAGATCACCTGATAATGGAATGGCTTTATCAACCTGGATCTGTCCCCTCTTTTTTTTCTGAGAATGTCTTAGGTCTGCACCAACACAGTGACATTGACATGACTCTGCTTGTTCAGCTTCCTTTGAAGTCTGACACAAATCGGGCATATTCTGTTCATCTGAGCACCTTTTCACAGCTACTGGAGAGGATACAAAAGAGACTCTTCCATGAGAGAAAGAGTAAAAAATGTAAAGATATGTTCATCCAATATGTGATTCTTTTAAAAACAAACAAACAACAACAATTAAAGAGATCAGATTTGTTATCTGTACAAATTGTAAACGTTCTGACAAGAACAGCCAGTTCATTTTCTTCCCCATAACAATTCAATTCAAGCCTGAACTAAATTAGGAACATATTTCAGAGTCGGATTGCTGCCTTTTCCAGTCACTTTCGCATTGCTGAGAAGCGCCCTGGGCGGTTTCAGCAGAGAGAAACACCTCCCCTCCCCACATGTGGGTTAAATGCAGAGAGCAGCCCTCTGCGGGGTGTCAGTGTCCTGCGTGACGGTTCCAGGGCGCAGCGATGGAGATCCTCTCCGCGTTTGTCTCCGCCGCTCTTGTGTGCCTGGTTAATGCCGGAGCCCACACTGATATACACTGGACGTACAAAGGTGGGCTTCCTTTCCGCTTTTTGGAAAAATAACTGGTAAAGTCTTGTTTTGCATGACTGAAACTGACCGCGTCCCGGTGCGTAAAACGCGCGTAAAGTAGCGCCGCGCTTGCTAGACTTGAATAGGTTAAAAAAAAACTTTTGTTGATTTTTTACATTTAATTTTATTTATTTGTGTATTTTTCTGTAACTCGAGTGGGTTTATCACTTTTTTTTTTTTTTTTTTTTTTTTTAATTTTTACGTGAATCCTGGGTGTTGAATTGCTGTTTCCTTGCCATGCGCGCAACATCTGCCAAGTACATTTTGGGAAAACCACGGCGGCATTTGGGGCTTGTTATGACACATCCATCGGAAAAAATTATACTGGTAGTTGGATAGAGCAGCTGCTGTTAACATTTGTGCGGTGAATAACCAACAATATCCAATGTCCGCACCGGCAACATCCAGTTGAACAAGTTCTGTGCGCTCTTTGTGTGTGTGTGTGTGTGTGTGTGTGTGTGTGTGTGTGTGTGTGCGTGCGTGCGTGCGTGCGTGTGTTTTAAATCCTTCTACAAACAGTCATAACATAAACATAATGATCGATGCGAATATTAGGAGACGTGGTATTCCAGTGGTGTGCACCTTTTATTGTTAATAATAATCATCATCAATCATCATCATCATCATCATCATCATCATAATAATCAAGATGATTATTATTATTATTACTTCTGATGGTGGATAAACGTCTGCCTGTCTTCAACACAGAGGGAGCCTTGGACCAGATGCACTGGGCAACCAAATACCCAGCATGTGGAGGCAAGAAGCAGTCGCCGATTGACATCCAGCGGCGCAACGTCAAGTTCAACCAGAACATGCTGCAGCTGGAGCTGAGCGGGTATGGCCCTCAGAAGGGAAACTTCCGCATGACCAACAACGGGCACACAGGTAAGAGTGACAAAGAGTAGGAATGACTGACCATTAAGCTGAAGGTTTTGGCTCATTATTGTCCCTGATAGTTAGCCATGTGATCCATATAAAAAAATAATAATAATAATTCAACACTACTTAATTTCTTTTGAAATTTCTTTGACATAGAAATATGAATAGATTACAAATGATTCCAGCAGAAATTATATCTGGCTGCACAGTGGCGCAGTTGGCAGCACTGTTGCCTTGCAGCAAGAAGGTCCTGGGTTCAATTCCCGGACCGGAGTCTTGCATGTTCTCCCTGTGCATGTGTGGATTCTCTCTGGGTACTCCCACTTCCTCCCACAGTCCAAAAACATGAATGTTAGGTAAATTGGTCTTTCCAAATTCTCTCTAGGTGTGAGCGTGTGTGTGCATGGTTGTTTGTTTCTGTGTTGCTCTGCAACAGACTGGCGATCTGTACAGGGTGTACCCCGCCTCTCGCCCGGAGCGCAGCTCCTGACCCCACTAGGGACAAGGGTGAATATATATATATATATATATATATATATATATATATATATATATATATATATATATATATATATATATATATATATATATATCAGATACAGTACAAAGTCTGTCTTCTCATCTGTTTCATGCCATCTGGTTGTAAACGTCTGAAACTCAACAGCTGCACTGTAAAGTATTCATGATCCAGTGATGAAATCTTTATGCTGGCCTCAGTTCAAATCGACCTGCCTTCCTCCATGAAGATCACCAAGGGTCTCCCGGGACAGTTCACAGCTGTCCAGATGCACTTGCACTGGGGCGGCCTGGACCTGGAGGAGAGCGGGGCGGAGCACACCATAGACGGCAGCCGCTACATGGCGGAGGTGGGTGAGACAGTAAAACAGAGCCCAAAAAAAAAAAATCCGTACAGGATTGTTTTGTTTTTTTCAGCTCCAAGCTAATGTGTTCTTTGTTTCCTGCAGCTCCACGTTGTTCACTATAATTCAGAGAAGTACAACAGCTTTTCTGAGGCCAAAGACAAGTCGGACGGCCTGGCAGTGCTCGCCTTTGTCTATGACGTACGTGAGCCACAAACACTTCTTCCTCTGCTTGTCTGCTCAGTTCGGCACCTTATTCACCTCAGGAAAAAAAATTGAGAAGAAAAATGAGCCTTTGTTCTGTTGCAGGAAGTTTCAAAGACGTCTTTGTGCTAAAAATATGTATAAATAGTAATCTGGTGGTCTTTGAAGTTGATTGTTTTTGCCATAATGTATTGAAGGCTTCATTGAGTATTTGGCGGAGGAAAGAGAGTTGAAAGAGAGTTTTATCCAGCAGTCTGCGACAAGTCTGACCTCTGAGACACTTCCTCCCCTGTCCTATGAGGTCGTTGCTGTGGCAACGACCTCAGCCGACATCCAACTTTGACAGCAGCACAGAGCAGTCTGTCTGTCTCTGTTGGACCTTTTGAATTTGAAAGGAGAAATGCTGCTTTGGGGGGTAGAATTTAATTTTAATTTGGCAGAACATCCCTCCATCAAATGCTGTTCGAGGTTTTATGGTGAAAGGTCAAAGCGGTAAAGATCTTCCCAGGTGGAGATAAACCTTAGCTTGTCTTGATTTAGTACTAACTCGGATCGGTTGGAGACGAAAGCCAACATCTGAAGTCTAAAACATCACAAAGGTATATTCTGCTCGCTCAATTTTACGAACATTTAAGCTGTTGCCACATTTGCAACAGCCTAAATGTGGCAACAACTTAAATGTGGCTTTGACAGAAATATTTTCTTTCAGAGAATCTAAGAGAGAAGTTAATTTCTTAGCATGTTTCATACAGTAAAGGCCTTGAATGACATGTTTTATAGTCTCGCCAGGGAGGATTTTTAAGCACCCAGAAGTAAAGTCATTACAGTGCGAGACTCTACAAACCAAAACTACGGGAGTGACAAAATGATTTCCCTTTGACACAAGTAAAGCAAGCCAAGACTTTCTGCTTCATTTCCAGTACGGTCATTTTGAGAACACCTATTACAGCGACTTCATATCCAACCTGGAGAAAATCAAGTATGCGGGTGAGTTCTCCCCGCACGCACGGGTCTCCTCTTCGCACCTCGACCTCCTCAGAGCCCCTTTGACTCGACGTTGCGTCCCTTGTCAGGTCAGAGCATGAACATATCCAGCATCGACGTGCGCTCCATGCTCCCCGAGAACCTCAGCCACTTCTTCAGGTACGAGGGCTCCCTCACCACGCCGCCCTGCTACGAGAGCATCATCTGGACCGTGTTCGACACGCCCATCACTCTGTCACACAACCAGGTATGACGGGGGAAAAGCACGTGGAGGAAGCAAGCCCAGACTAGAAGTGGTCTTACTGGTTTCATTTGTCTTACCCTCTTTGTGCTGCACCCAGATCAGGAAGCTGGAGGGCACTCTGATGGACTTGGATAACAAGACCCTGTGGAACGATTACCGCATCGCTCAGCCGCTCAACGACCGCGTTGTGGAGTCTTCCTTCCTGCCACGCCTTGGGAAAGGAAGTGCGTGATGACCCGTCAATCGCTGGTTCCTCAGAAACCCAGGCGAATCTGCAGAGCTATTTTGTTGTTCTTTTTTTCATTTCGGTCATCTTTGTTTTGCTTTTTGTTTTTGCCTCCGCAGCGTTTTGTCAGCAAGATGAAATCGAATCTAAGCTCCTGAAGATCGAGGGTCTGATAACTTCTCTTGGAAAGAATATGTATTCAGGTGCTTGAAACTGTTGGATCTGAGCGCAGTGAGTGGAAAATCTCCTTTGGACCTTTGTAACCGCTTTTATTTATTCCTCTCTAGGAATGGGAGAACGCTTCAGCTCAAGGCCTTCCAAATATGGTACAGTTTTTTGCATGTCACCCAATATTGCATTTTTTTTTTCAACAAAAAAACATACTCTCACAATAAACACACAGCTGAATACCAGGGCACTGACTTTAAAGCCAATGTATAACATGCAAATATTTCAAATAACACACACACACAAACACCGACCAGTTCTGCTTCATGTGTGTTTGGGTTGAGGCTCAAGATTCAATCTGATTATCTGGCTAGAAAAAAAACAAAACATTTTGATGGATTGCGGAGCTATTGGGTTGAACCGAGCTCAATGTTGACCAGTCACTGTTAGGAACGCCTGACGAGTGCCAGATTGGGCCTGCTGATTGATTATATGCCTTAATTAGTATCTGTAATAAATGAAGAAAGGTGGCGAGTTTCAGTCTGTCTCGTGATCAGCTTTAGCAGAAGTAATATGATGAAGTAGTTCCCACAAAACACATCCTTTTTCATGACTTCAAAACCATCTTAATCGGCTGCATCAAAGAAGATATGTACGTTACTTTTTAAAGGCAGACTTCATCTTGAGTGTAACATTTCATGGCCAAACAAACAGAAAACTCGACTCTTTGTGCTGAAGAGAATCCAAATGCCCATTAGCTTTGAAACCAGACCACGCTTTGAAGATGTTTCTCGTTGTGTTTCTTCTCCAGAGTACGGGGAGCTCTTTCCTCTGGTGCTCAACTTTGAAGACAGAAACTCCGTCAGCTACGCTCTGGCTCCCCTCCACCGCATGGATCTGGACGCCTTCACCGTCTGCACGCATGTTCTCCTCAGGGCCCCGGGGGTCCACACCGTCATCTCCTACTCCAGCGGCGGCCGCGACAACGAGCTGATGGTCTCCATCAGCGAGGACGCGAATGCGAGGGAGGTGGGCCTCTGGATCGGCGACGAGTTTGTCAACATGCCGCACAGCTTCAATACCCAGGACTGGACCAACTACTGCGTCACCTGGTCGTCCCACTCGGGCGGGGTGGACCTGTGGATCAACGGCAAGGTGGGGGAGCAGAGGCACCTGCAGAGCAGCCACATAATCAACCTCGCCGGCGCGTTCGTGTTGGGCAAAGACCAGGACGGGGTTCTCGGGATCTCCGACACGGACGCCTTCGTGGGTAAGATGACGGACGTGAACGTGTGGGACTACGTGCTGACCACCGCGGAGATCCGAGACCAGTACTTGTGCGAGAGGAACAGCAGCATGGTGGGGAACGTGTTGAGCTGGGGGGCCAGCAGGTTCAAGATGTACGGCGGCGTGCAGCTGGACAACCAGTACAGGTGCTCCTGATGTGGCTCAACACATTCCAAGTAAAATATTCCAAATTTGACTCTCTCCGTGTGAATTGGAGGGGAATTAGCTGGCATTTGGAGGTCATTTAAACATTATACATGAGTATTAAAACTTACTCTTACCATAAAGAGAAATATTTGCAAACGATAAACAACTGGTGCTTGACTTTCGGTGATCTCTGGGTTCGAATGTGTGGCTTCAATAGCCTGGAAATCATCTGTGGAGGAATGCAGAGTGCATGTGGGGGGAGGGCGGGCTTCATTCCCCTGGCAGTAAGCAGTATCCTATATATGAGGAATAGTAAAAAGTATATATGCATGAAATCTGGTTGTTTTGCTCCCAATAATGCAATAAATTACTTTTACGAGCTGTACAGTTGAGGTTTATTCCCACTTGTTTCTTTGAATTCCAGTTAATTCCCATGGAAAGGTCCTAACGTAGAAATATGCCGCCGTACTCCTGAAAAGCCTCCTCTGTACCGCGCCGCAAAACCCCCCACAACATGACAGCTGATGGTGTGAGCTTTTTTTAATGTTTATGGTCATGAAGGATAAAATGCCCGCCAGGCTCTTGCAGATCAATATTTAAAATGTGTGTCACGGCTTCATCCATGTATTCATGTCTTTGCTTCATAAATAAAGACCTACATGAAAGGTTTTGGCCTCTTTAATGACTCGTGCGTGCATTCACACCTCTGCCCGTGGAGTGGCATCTGCTTGTTGTATTTTTAACCTGCAGAAGAATGCTCAACGATATCCAAACAGCCTGAGACTAAATCCTTGCAAAGACAAAGAATAGAGTCTAAATAAAACCACTCAATATAATAGGAATAATATTTCTTCTCAATGCTTTCATTTATTTCCTTATAAGTCTACCATCTTCTGTATTTTATCCAGTATCTCTTTGTCGCTTCTCAATTCGTCCTCCAACTCTTTCATATCCGTTTTGTTCCTCTGGGCGAACATCTGGGAAACCTCCAGGAAGGTCTTGTTCTTGGTTTCGGGCATCACGATCAAGAGGTAAATCAGCGTCAAAAAGCAGATGACGGAAAAAAGGAGGAAGCTGAAGGGGCCCATGCCTTTCTGAAAGAGAGAAGGACAGGGAAAGTGATCTGTTAGTCCTCAGGAGTCCTCTTAGTCCTCTGGACCAAGTACTCCTGCCCACTGTGAGTGACCATCACAAGCGTTTAGCAACTGGAGCTGTATGGAAAATCATGTCTCATCAAAATGACATCAAGGGCTGCTTCTAATTAAACCATCCTTTTTGGAGAGGAAGTCAAGTCAAGGTGAAGTGAGACGAGTTGATCTTATTGAAATACTCTTCTGGATTGTTTTGGTTTCTTCTACCTAAACACATTCCACACTTGTTTTCTTTTTCATTTGTTGTGTTTTTCTTCATCTTGATGGTTTTACCACCGTGTTTATTAAAAGAGAACGGCTTGAGCCAAAGCTAATGGGCGCATGATGTGTCCTTACTGGAAAGGCCCAGTACTGGTTTACAAACCTGTTACACATTCAGAATCGCTGGATATAAACCGTGAACATGAACAGACTTCGAGCTGCAAACTTTGGCCATATCATCTCAAAGTTAAACACAACACCACCATGGCGGTTTCTGAGGAGTCTCAGATTCAGCATGGATCAACTCAAAAACCTGGAGCTGTAAAAAAATCTTCATGGGCGCCAGACTTTTATTTTTTGAGACTTTACAACCCCGACCTTATGTCATTGAGATTTTACTGCATGTGTGACAGACCAACATGAAGTTACGCATGATTATGAAGTATGATGAAAAATGTCCAAATGTTCTCGTTTCACTGGAGCAACTTCTTCCACATGTTTGCTGCGTCCCCTTCATACCTTGAGGCCAACTGCAAACTTTCAATGGATTTTTTTTTTCCAGCTGAAGTTGAAAGGACGGATTCAAGACATCTATAACATCGGTACCAAGTCGATATCGGCATTGGGTCGATACCAGTGTGGTAGAATTGATACTTTAGATCCAGATTCCATCTTGAAATTTTATTCTATTTGTGTATTGTAGTTTCTCAACTCTACCATAAAAATGAAAAAAATATTTTCACTTTGAGTTGCTCTCAAATTGTAATATTTTGCACTTGGTTTATTTAGGAAAAAGCGCAAGTAAATTGTGTGAATGCTATTCAAGTGTTTTGCAGATACTTAGAAACTATGTCCAAATTCTGTCCTAGGTTTGAACAACATCATTCAAGACCTACAAAAAGACTTAAGTTAAAGAGAAGACATTTGATGATGTGTCAAACATAAGCAAAGAGCACTGGCATCATGCTCTTTGTTTACTTGGCAGCAGATTAAAAAAAACAACATATGCAATATCGCATACATCTAATAAAACCAGATGAACCCTATTAACTAAGGAGATGGCTATTTAAAGAAACTGATGAGTAGAGAAGAAAATGTATGAAAACCATGCATCCCTTTGCTTTACTTGTGGCACTTTGTGTTGGCCTATGATACAAAATCCCAATAAAACAAAAGAAGACAAAATTCAAGGGGTAAATACTTTGGTTTGTCTATTAAATATAATTCCCTTCATGGCAGAAAAGTAAATATATATGTTAAGTAGAGGAAACTAAATTTTTACTAGATATAAATATTATAACGGTGACTCGCCTTGCTGCTTTCAATTTGAACAAATAAAAAAAAAAACATTTGGACGTAATATAAAAACATATTGAAAAAAATAAGCTTCAGCTGCTTTGGTGTCTCTTGTTTAACCAACCTCCATGAAGGGGAAAATGAGGCCCACAGTAAAGTTGGAAATCCAGTGGATGGAGCCACCAAGCATGAAGGCCGCTGGCCGAGCCGACTGCATGAACATCTCAGTGGTCACCACGTTTGGAATGGGGCCTGCCGAGCACACACACACACACACACACACACACACACACACGCACACACGCACACACGCACGCACGCACGCACACACACACACACACGCACGCACACACACACACACACACGCACGCACGCGTACACACACACGCACACACGGGGTTAACCACATCCGAAACACTGCAACACACACCAGTCCTCTCAAGCCGAAGAGAGGAGGCTGCCATGACAGAGTGCTGAATTTACAGAATCTGTGATTACATGTCTGGTCCAAGCAGCACTTCAGATAATGGAGCGGTCTGTTGTAAGCAGCGTGTGAGTAAATAACCACAGGTGGGTCAGACTTACTGGGTCCGATGGCATGTCCCATGACGTAGACGATGACACAAATGATACTGATGTAAGGCATCCACGATACGCTCTCCTACCAACAAACAGGCAATGTTTCCATTAATCCCTTCACTTGTTTGCAACATAAAAGATAAACTACCTACAAAACACGCTTTGGCAAGAGAGTATTTTGACCATATTATCATTTTCTAACTCCAAGCTGGACAAACTCGAATGCTTATGGATTCAATCACTGTTGGTGATGTGTATCTGTGTAATGATGGAGGCCGTGACCTGAGGAGGTCAACACTATATATCAAGATACTTAAAATCATTGGTCAGATTCTTCTTCTCTTTAGGTAAAATGGGATTTAACTGACTCTGAAAAGCAAAAAAATCATATCTCTCAGACAGATGCAGAACTCTTGAGATCAAAAAGATATTAGGGCTTGATCAAAGAGGGCCCTGCAGTTACTGATTGACAAAAATAAGACTTGCCTAGTAATTGCCCATGAGCGTAAATGCCATGAAGTCTAATAGGACGCAAAGCAATAAACAAAAGCGATATGAATTAGCATTGTTTCCACAGTGGCCTACTGCGTTCATTCATCGTCATTGTGCAACGTCACTGCTATCAGTCTGAATGCAACGCTTTTAAGGACGGACCGTGCTCTGCGCTACGTCCATCTATCACTGAGAAGTTCTTGCTGGTATTTTGTGTCTCTGATTTTTAGCAACCTCAGCAAACAGAGATGCGGGATCATCGTTTTATTCCTTGGAGCAGGTGCAAGCTGCAGGTGTGAACTATCAAACCCCGCAGAGCAGTCTTTTCTTATTTTTCTTATTCAGTCGTTTGCCTGATTGAAACGTCTAAATTACATGAATTATTTGTGCGATTGCTGGAATATTTATTTCTTAAATTGTTCTGCACAAATGAATCCTGTCATTTGTGCAGGATTATAGCAGGTCGTTATAATTGCAACCTGGCATTCTCTGAGATTATAGCGTAATGTTTTTCTTCATTTTTTGTGATTGCCTGTGCTTCTTCAGACAGTTCTGGGGCATTTCAACCTGTATATCCAGACAGTTGATATATCCTATATAATAACAGCAGGATGTTTTCATAACCTTTATTGAAATAGAGGCAGTGAAAACAGCCAAGCAGGGGGAGTGTATGCATTAAATATAAGAGTCGCTGCAAGGTTTGGGCATTCTCTTATTTACTACAGAAAGTAAAGGTTAAACTTTATTGCTTAAAATATTTTCACAGTCTTCAGAGTGTAATATACTTGCATATAAAATGCAGGTGGGACCTTTACAAAGTTTCAAAGTCTTATGTTTCCATCCCAAAAACAATCCGAAACACTTCTTTACAAGAATTAAACAATTGTAACACAATGTTCTACAATACTATAAATCATAGTAAGCTAATATAGCTGAAAAAATTCTGCTACCCTTTTGTCAATTAATCCAAGTGCCTAAGGACTTGTAATAGTAATTGATTACTTTTTGTTTCCTTGGGTGTATAAAGATGTTTTTGCACATCCTCATTTCCCTAAAGCTGCTCTATCACGGGGTGTGACTTTAACTGGTTGTTCCCCAGTCTGCTCGGCCAGATTCATCACCTTAATGTGATTGACATGTATCAGTCTGGAAGTGGCTACAAGGCCACTTCAGGCTTTGAGACTCAAGGGAACAAGACTGAGATCGATTGTCCGTAAATAAAGATGTCTGATGCTTTAAAATGTCAAACAGTGGCCCAAAAAACGAACAAAAACCATAAAAACAGAGAACGCTATTTTAAAAAAAGGCCAGCAGAGGGCACCAGAGTGTCGTGTTAAATCTGAGTCATGCTGCAGCTTTCACAGCTTACCTGGAAGTTGAGGGCCACGGTCAGCAACACACAGGCCCCGCAGCAGACCCCGAATCCCGTAAGAAGAAGAAGCCGTCGGCCTGAGGACTCCACGATGAAGACCTGTGAGAACAAGCTTCCTGTTCAGAGCTGGAGCTACAAGCTGCCACAATTAGACTGCAGATTTTAGCTCTTCTACTTTATTTTATCAGGGTACTTACAGCAGCTATGGTCATGAAGACATTCACTGCACCTGTTCCCACAGTAATGTACTGGACGTCCTGCTCATTCACTCCGGTAGATCCATAGATACTATCTGCGTAGTAGTAGATCTGTGAAAGAAATGCGTGGCTGAAAGAGGTGCGGACGGGGCTGGTAATAAATGGTGGTGCTTTGTAGTAGACAATGTTTAAAGTAAAACAGATGTCAGGGTTTTGAAGGCCAAAATGAATGATGCCCCACCGCATTGACCCCGGACAGCTGCTGGCCCATGTTCAAAACGATGATGGTGTAGAGCTGCCAGCGGAGATTCTTCTGGGACAGCAGGGAGACCACCGACAGGCGACCCTCGAGTTGCTCTGACTGTTCCTCGAGAAGCATCTCTCCTATCTCGTCGTCCACATCATCCCAGCCACGCAGAAGCTGCAACACTGAGAGGGGCAAAACACACCAGACCTCAACTGCGTTGAGTTTCGATGCGGCCGCGTGAAACGGTTTGTTTTCTGTCCTGGCTTCTTACCTTTCTTGCTGTTCTCCTCGTCTTTCTTCTGGATGAGCAAGTACCTGGGACTCTCTGGGAAGAACGGCAGGAAAATCAACTGGATCACAGCGGGGATGGCGGTCAAGCCGAGCATGAGGGTCCAGCCTGGATCAGGACACGGTCAGGTTTCAGTTGAAGGCTGAGTGTGAGGAATAAAGTAACACCCGGATTTATGAGCACCTGTGTTGTTGCCCAACAGGCTCCTGATGCCAAACACTTGCGCAACGAGGATGCCAATAGTGATGAAGAGCTGTGGGATGATTCCAATGGCTCCTCGCAAGTTTTTGGGTGCGAGTTCGCCCAGGTACATTGGCACCACGTTGGACGACAGACCTGCAAACATGGATGGGGAGAAATACAATATATACACCAGCCTGAACTGCAACGCTTTGCAAAAGTATTTCAACCTTTGTAACATTTTCCCATTTCACCATGTTACAACCAAGAACATTCTTCTGACTGATTTTGTAACATAATGTGCTCAAACAGAAACAAGATGTTTGATTCGAGGGGGAAATGTTTGTTATCTGACAGTTATTCAGAATTAATCTGCACTTCTAACTGTGGAAGTTCAAAGGGCAAAGCAACAAACTCACAGCACATCCTATCTGGTTAAACATGACTGCAATTAAAAACTAATCTGCCTGGATTGATTTATCACGTTTTTCCATGTGATAAAAGCATTGAAATGCATGAATGAGAGGAGTTTTTTTTGTCTTTTTATTAAGTCAGTGACTTTAAAGTACATTTTATTTTAATCAACAAAAAGACTGAATTTGGAACTAGCTCTTGTTGAAGATGAACCGATGTTGAATAAATACAGTGACGTGTTCTTTATCATCCTCAAGAGGTTATTATCAAACTCAAACCAGATAACAAAGCGGTCATCACATTTTGAACCTAATAACTCTGTCAGTTTTTCAAAGTAAGTGAATTTACTTCCAGGTATTGATCCTAAACTGATTGGCAGTGTGCAGTGGTAAGGTGCGAAACCAAAAGAGGTCAATGGAGGCAACAACAAGAAAAAAACTTAAGGAAAGGAGAGGTGACCAGATTTGATTTTTTTTGCCAAATGGGGAATTTAAAGGTTTACATTTTTAGGTCACCAAACTGCAAACATGTATCCTTCAGTGGTCAAAAACATTTATCTTCAAAGTGATAAAAAATGATTTAAAAAAAAAGATGTTTCTCTCTATTTTATTGGCAGAATGTAACGTCAGTCAAGGAAACTGACCAATCATAATTGTTGAATAATTTATCACAGTCTTTTCCGCAGGTTTCAGCCCTTCTGTGATAATGAGCCGACTAACTTTGCGTAAAATGAACAATGGGTTGCTTTGGGTCCCAAGCATCCACACAAAAGTTAAAAAAAAAGAAAGAAAAAGAAGAGAATAAATCATTCTCAAATTATTATATAATAATTAAGAAAGTCCAAATGATTTCAAACAATAAGATTTTTCTTTTAAGAAATAACTACTCAAACAGCACAAACAAAATCTTCAGCAACACAAACGTTTGTCACCCGTTTTGTTTGATTTTGGTACAACGTGAGGGACGGCAGACCCTTCGTCTACATAAAACCGAAGCAGCTACACAGAAGCCAAACATTTTTGCTGCACAAAACAGAACAAGTTAGCAATATTAATTTCTGTGACCCTGACCTTTGACTGCCTTCAGAAACATTTATTATTATTGTAAAGAGGATGGCAGCACAAACATCTGACGCAATTCTTTTTTAAGAGTTGAAGGAATCGGGGCCTGGGCTAACTGCCATGAAAAAAAAAAACGATTGAGTTGAATACGTTTGTCAAACAAATGTTTTCAAATGAAATGTCCGACCTGCACATATTCCCACTATGATCCTGGCCAAAATTATGAGCTCGTAGGACCCGGCTGTCTCACTGAGTCCCATCATGATCGCCGGGACGATGGAGAAGACGTTGTTGAAGAGGAGGGTGCCCTTCCTGTTGCAGGATTAAAACTGATTAAAGACCTGCTCCTCGACGCAGAACCGTAAAGCTTGCTGTGAATGAGTTTTCACCTGCCGAGCTTGTTAACCAGCGGAGCCACCATCAGAGCTCCAAAGAGGCCTCCGAGCGGGAACATGGACACAGTCAGTGACCACAACAGGGTCAGGAGGCCCTCTGCCATCGGCTCATTATAACGACGGATGTAGGTTTCGTTGTAAAAGTCTTGCATAAACTGCAAAGAACAGAACAAGGCTGAAAGCGTCTCTGATCCAAGTCTTAGTACCAATGATGGTTCAAACAAGAAAATAGTTACTGGTGCTGGAGAGTTGACGACAGCAACATTGTATCCATACTGGAAGGACGAACCAAACGCGGAGACAAGACTGGCCAGTGCCAAAACTTTTGTTAGTCTCTAATGAGGAGGGCGACATGAGAAAAAATATTTCACAAACACAAATGTCACCCATAATGACTATTTAGACACAAGGATAGATCAGGCAAAGCAAAACACTGATACTCACCCCTCTCCGGTCCTCTGGCTTCCCCATGTCTATGTGGTCATCCATCGTGGTCAATATGCAGATACATTCTACATACATAGTTGCTTTTTGTTTTTGCTGCACCGCCCACTCTGCGTGCCCTTTGGACGTAAGATCAAAGATCATGGTAAAGGTTTATGATTAAACTTGCGATTATTAACGTAAAGGTTAGCGTAATAACGTAAAGGTTAGCGTAAAGATTAAACTTTACGTTAACCTTTACGTTAAAGGTAACAACATGCAGGTTGTTCAGCATGTTGCTGAACAACCTGCATCCCAGTTTGAAGTCTTCTGCAGCTGCTGCAAGCTTTTTTTTTTTTTACCATGTGCTTATCTGCACCAATGTTTCCATCAATCCTAACCAGTGAGCCTGAACTGTTGAGAAAAAGTAAAGTATCCCATTTTTTGGGGTTTTTTTTTTTCACTGTTGGATGGCGAGGTGAGGGTCAGTACTAGTTTTCTTCCACAAATAGGTTTTTCCATGTCATCTAGAGAGCTGAGCTTTTGGTCTCATCTTACTAAAACGCGTTTGTTTCTCAGGTTTGCAGTAGATTTGAAGTTTTAGGTTGCGAACAGAGCAGCATGGGGTATTGTTTTATAACCTCATCCCGTTTCAAATCCCTCTGCAGTTTCCTTCCCGACTTGCCTGCAGTGCTCTTTGGTCATCGTGACGCCGAAGGGACATTTGAGGCCTTTAGAGAACAGCTGCATTTGTACTGAGATTAAAGTATGCAATTTCATTCAGGAATCACCGGACTTTTAGCCATGAAAACCTGAAACCCACCGCGCAGTGTTAGTATTGCCCGATTACATTCTAATGAAACGCACAAAAGATTGTTGTTGAAGTGCGACAAAGGCACTGCGTTTGCATCACACGACAGCGTTGTGATACTGTATCTGGTTTTATCAATTTAGGCAAATTGATAAAAACAGCAATTAATGCCAATAAAAAATAAAAAATGATAAGGCACCTTTACTGCTTTAAAAAGAAATACAACAGGATACTAAAGTGACAAACAGCTGCCAAAACTGTCACTAATCATCCCTTCTACAGTTTACAGCGGATAGTTTATTGGATCTATCTGCTTTTATGGCACACTGAAGCTACATGAAAGAAGAAACGTCTGCAGGATCAAAACTGTTGCATGTTTCTTCTTCTGCTTGCTCTACTTACAATACGTTATACTGTTCTTGTCTCCAAAGTCTATTTGCCTATAAAAGATCACTAGTGTTGCTTGCTCTTAAAGCTGGATGTCATTTCCAGGGCGTCTCGTTGCAAAAGCAATCATCCCAAATATAGATTCTATGAAGGAGATAAAGCAAAGATAAAGTGTGATCAAAATAAACACCTCTGAAGAAAAGAAAGGCATATAAACTTAAGAATCATTTGCAAAGTGAGTCTGGTGAGACTTTAAAGGGATAAACCAACATTGGTGATTGTGTGCTGGGGATCTCATCGAAAATGTAAGACAGTTTCCTGATTAAATGTGGCAAGGTGTTTCACCAGAAGCCCAGCTTAACGTGGATAGAAACACGAGATTATACCCACGCAACATTTTGAGCAGCACTATTTCCAGAGTGGCATTGAAAGAGTGACATTTTAACTAGCATTTACAATCTGTCACTGTAAAAAGGTTTAAAAATATCCCAGAAGTCCAAAGACAATTTTTATTGTTGGCTTAATAGACAACTTCTTGCTTAGATAACCAGGCTCACAAACCTTACGCGGCGACAAGAGGCGCGCAAACACGGTTCTGTTTGTGCTGCTTTGCATTGGTCTGTCAAATGAGATGCTAAAGGTGCTATTAAAAATCACCAGATTTAGTCACAAATGCATTGGGGTGTTGAGTCTGTATCTCAGCAAATGTAGCCAGTCATGGAGAAATACGTTCCCAAGTAAATATTTAATTCGCCGTCCAGCTATTTAGTTCACAAATAAAATACTTGGCTTTCAAGTTAAATATTTACTTCGAAAGCTGAATATTTACCTTCTAATCTAGACATTCAAATTTCAAACTAAATACTTATTTCCAAAACCAAATGTTTGGCTGGCCAACTAAATATTTACCAACTAAATCAATAGTCAGGATGCAGCAGCAAGTAAAAGCCGTGTTTAACTCCTGAACGTCTGAAAGTTTTTGTGTGACAATAAATTCTCACTTCAAACAATTACTTATTATCATTTAACTGTTTTTTTTTGTGTTTGTTTTTGTTTCATGAAAATGAACAAACGCGTTGTGTGAAAAACGCAGCAGGGGGTGAACGGGGCGGAGTTTGCGTGCAGGAAGTCAATGGTTTGGACTTCCTGTGTGGCCTCCTTCCCACGGTGCCATGGTTACGCATCATAACAAATGAGCAAGTATTGGCGGAAATGAATCCATGAGAGCAGCATATTAAAAAAAATAAATAAAAATAAGATAATAAAGAATAAGACCAATTTTCCCGCCAGAAACGCGGGAACGAAAGTTAAAGCAACAGAGTAACTTGCCGCCGTAATTCTTCCAGCGTTTCTTTAAAACGCTCATTGCTTCCTTTTGTTGAGAATTAAAAAGAGGAATAACTTGATTTAGCTCGTTAATTCATTCCTCTTTTTCACGAATTCTTGTGTTTCAATATATATGCAGGGAGAAAGAGCAATCATACGACGTCAGACGTCAGATATCCAGAGTTTTATCCAGAGAAAATTCAATGCAAGAAGAATGTTACAATAAGCATCTCACCTAGATCATCAAAAGTCCAAGACATGACAAAGCAGAAACAATTAACTGAGTAAAAATGGAAACAAAAGATGCATCTTCTGGGAAACTCTCACTCAGCACAAAGAGATTCGAACTTCTGCTGTAAAACAAACCATTTTATAAGAATGTGTATTCTCCTCATTTAAATATATGCATTAAGAGGTGTGTTTTTTCCTTTATGTGGGCTGTCTTAAATGTTCATTTTATTACCTCTGAGACCCGAACACCCAGCTCTTCTCGTACCAGGCTCCGACCTGATTTACAGCGTGGAACTGAAACGTTATCTCTGCCTCAAAATGATCCAACAAGAAACCATTTGGTGTTTTTTAAACAAACTCGCACAAAATGTATTGCTTAATAATGACTATAAGTTTGGATCTAAGAAGTAACTAATTCAAAACATGCTTACAGAAATATATTTAATTCTAATATAGATAAAATTATTTATAAAAAGTTTTAAGATCCTAGTGAACTTTTGAACCACGCTAAGGAATTTGTTAATTGTCTGGCAGATAGATAACCTGTCTAAAGAGATTTAAGGAAGTCTCAGTCTGTCTTTCTTTTTTTTCTAAGTTTGTCTTAACGTAAAAAAGTTAACTTGTGTACTATTGTGCTACTTTTAAAATTCTATTTCAACACTTTCTTCGCGACGGAAACAGCACACTCTTACTTGCGTCAGCGGAGCTCCTCTGTTGTCCTCGTACCCGAACCTCCGCCTGCGAAAACGGAGCGAAGGAAGCAGCGCTGAAAACTCAGCAAAAATCCGTTTCCAAGATGGCGGCTGTTGCCAAGCGACGTCTCCGTGGACGACGCACCTTGTCACGACTGATGCGTGGAGGAGGCGAACAGGAAGGAGGTCTCTCTCCATCAGACCACAGCGCGAGAAAGACAAACTAGAGCCGCTGCTTCTGCACGTCGAGAGGAGCCAGTGCAGCTATTGTGGAGAAATAATAATAATAATAATAATAATAATAATAATAATAATAATAATAATAATAATAATAATAATAATAATCAAGTATATTCCTGCTTTGAGTGAGTTTTTCATATTTTAAATATCAAATAGAATCCTTTTGCCGCAGTGTTTTAAACCCTTCGCAAACTTGTATTCTCGTCATACTTTGAAATGCTTCAGCTAAGGATAAGGAATAACCCGACAGATAAAAGAGCAGGACAAATCGTGCTGTAATGGCCCACTAAAAAAGTATTGTGGCGTAAAACATGTGCAGGGACTTATTGGAGTATTATGTCAAAAAGGTTTTGTAGGGTTAAGGGTTGGAGTGGTTGTGTGATTCTCTGAAAGAGAAAAAAAAATGTGCAAATGAGACATTTCTCCTTGTTTATTGTTTTTTTTTTAAATGGATGAATTATGCTTTTATCTTTAAGAGAAAGATAGGCTACTTATCTTACTGTTTGCAAAGTCAGATAAGAAAATTGTGGCAGAACAGGATGCAGTGGGTCAGAATGTTTTACCAGCAGAAGTAAAAGGGCGAAACGTACAAGAAAGCACAACTCCTTAAATGGCCGGCAGCCAAGAGTGGAGGGTTTTGTGCAGGAGGGGAGTATGAGGGAATGTATCAGTATGAGGTCCTCCTGCAGGGACTTATTGCTGTTTGTGTTTGTGGGCAGGTTGTGTCTCCATTTGGCCAAATATATTGATTTAATATATGAGTGATTTCACATTCCAGCTTGGGGTTTATTTTCCTTTCCTGCCTGAAATATCTAAGACCCGGGTAGAGAGACGTGTTTCTGAAGCAATGGTTGTTTCTGTCTCTCAACATCGGCTCGAACGCCTCCCTAATGAGACTACTTCTCGACTGACTGGGGAGTGACTTGGGATGAATTCATTTATTTGACAAAACTAAAGTGATCCGCGAACCACGAGCATAAGCGGTAGCTGATCAAAAATAAGTAAATAAATAAAAATGAGGTAGTGGAAGCCTGAACAGCAGCACTGAGAAATATTCTGCAGTGGTGGCCATGACTGCAGTGAACAGGTGGTGGAGCTAATGTGCAGGGCAGCGTCACATGATCTAAAGAAGAGCCAGAGGATGTCACATGCTTACCACACACTTCAGCTGCTCGCTGCCTGAATGTCCAGATTCTGAAGTAATAGAATAACTTTACTCCGTGAGCCCTTTCTTAAAGGTGTTTTTGTGTTCTTGGCGAATGTCAGGTTGATGTTCAGTTGAAGTTGTTCCTTATTCAGTGAGTTGGACAGTGAATTTGAGAACTGGCTCTTACAGCAACAGAATCAGCTAATTTAACAGTTGGTGTTGAGCATAAAAATGACTCCCCCTGACGAGTGGTCACCACAGCTCAGAGGTACACTGAAACATAATGAATTAACCGGGCGGGGAGCCAGCAGAGAGGAGAGAGAGTGCACAAACTTCTTCCTTAAGTGTTTTCATCAGCCCGAGGTGTTTCAATGTCAGCCAAATCACACAATGGATTAAATGGTGGAGGAAATACAGAGAGAGCGGCCATCTGTGTGCTTCCTGCCGTCCGCAAGGAAGGCCCGCTAACCGATTTACTACACCTGCAAATATTCATGCTTCTTTCATTTTTATTGAACATTAACAACTTTATCAAACAATAGATAAATGGTCAAACGGAAGACAATTTCCATAACTAACAATTCAAAATGGGTGACAGGCTTTTGTAGGAGAATCTCTGGTCACATGAGACTGAAACTGAACTGTTTGACCTACATGCAAACCAGCCCTGATAATTTCCCTCAAACATCACCCCTGCAATGAAACACAGCAGTCCAACCAATGAAAATGAGAGCAGCTATTAGAATTTCCCGTCCTCCAGAAAGTAACCTAGTCTCACAGTACTCAAGTACTCAGCAGCAAGCAAGGGAAACATACTCCACTGCACATGCCTACAAATAACCTGCTTAGGGGATCAACAGGCAAAAAGGATATTTGATTTTCTAAACTTTTGGGCAAATCGGTGTCAAAAATAAAGGGCCTGAAACCAAATGCGTCCCACAATTTTCTAATTTTTGTTAATAATTTTAAAACCACGCATCATTTTCTTGCCACTTTACGACGATGCTCAACTTTGTGTCGGTCCGTCAAGGGAAATCCTTATGAAATACACCAAAGTTTGCAACGGCAACATCTCTTGTGAGACAGTGTCGGCCCCACGTTCACACACAGTCTGTTTTCCCAGGCTTGCCACCCACTCTGTTGTCATTACTCTTATATTCCCCAGCATGAAAGAATGAACTGTGCCCTCTGTCCCATTACTCCAACTAAACGTTAAATTAAACCTGTTTATTTGAATAAGACCAGTGTAAACATTGGGGATTAAATTAATGTATGGAAGCCAGATGCTCTAAGAAGGATGCGCACATATTTTCAGTGTTTGTTTTGATGCTTTAAAGCTGATTAATCCCACACATGCAGAAAATACTTCTCTTAGTGTGTTTGTTTATGAGCTTAACTCAGATGCCACTTTTTCCCCCTCTTGTTAACTGCACAGCTCCATTCAGAATACTTCCCCTAAAGCCTATTTATCATGTGTGTCCTTCTGCACAGCTGCTTGTCATATATAGGGTGTGTGTGTGCTATTTTTTTCTTCAGATGATGGCGTCAGGAGGAGTTGTTCACAAGCTTCCGACTTAAAGAAAGCCAGGATCCACTGCGCCAATCAGTCAGTCAAAGAGCCAGATTCTCTAAAAATAGTCATGGTTATAGGTTAGGTCGACGCCGTGGTCTGTGCGGGTTTATTCAAGTTTACAGCCTCCCCTCTGGTTTGTTGACGTCTGGCCAACACAGGCATCTAGCAGCAGGGGTCAAGCGAGACGTTCAGGGTCACGAGGGCTGCTCAGGTTGCAAGGAGGAAGGATGACATGTGATGATCGTTCATGCTTCTCCTGACCACAGTGACCAGCAACGATGAAGGTGACACATCAAACCGAGATCTTTCGCAAACGCTGCACAGAAATGTGTCGCAACTGTGCCATTACACAAGAGCGATGAGTTTTAAATAATAGAAAAGCAGCAAACTGGCCTGCCATGAGTGTGAAACAGGTTTTCGCACTTATAGTTTTTTTTTTGTTGCATTTGAACTGATTGAACAGGCAATGAAAACCTGGCACATTCTCACAAACGATCACATAGAAAAATGTTCAGCTGAAAATTGTAGATCAATTTTACACAGTGTCTCTTACCTGCACATTTCAGACGTGTCTGTTCCAGAACGCCTGATTCAAATGATTTCCTGACCTCCTCTGTAGTCACCAAGTGCTGCAGAAACATGTTAATCACCCACTTTTTCAAGTTAGACAGAAGGAAAACGGCTAAAACATCCAGGTCAGAGGTGTCTGAGTGCTGCAGCAAGTTTGACTTCAGTCAGTACAAATTATAGCAACCACAACCTTCTACTAGTTTGTTTTCACAATTATTTCTCCGACCTTCAAAGTTACCAGTAGATTTGGAAAGAAAATCAAACGTATCAAGAAGGAGGAAAAACCTGCAAAATAATTCCACATTTGATAAAACAGCACTGAAAATAAGGATTATAAAGACAGATTTTAATAAAATGTAAAAAAAAAAAAACATGTCAAACATGTCAGCTACTCTATTCTATGTTTTTTTATTTTTAAATCTGATGGCATTTCAAAGAGTGTATGATGCCATACTCTCTATCAAGGTACCGAGAGCATTTGAAAGAGAACCAGGTTCACATATCAGTAGAAATTAAGTGGTTTTGTTTTCAGATTTATGTGAAACTCATCTGGGCCATATGTTTCTGAAAAGCTTAATCTTACCTATGCACACAATTCCATTTAAGTATCAGCAGTAGAAAAGTTTATTGTCACCCATTAGGCAACTGGATTTGCTCCAGCCACAATCACACACAGCAAAAATATCACACAGACACCAGACATGGGACATTGCAACAGACAACATAAGGACAGTCTATTTACTCACACTCATTATTTTTGGCATTATTTAACTTTTATGAGTTAAATCCCTGCATGTTTTTTTTATTCTGGCTTGCACAAAACCCACTGACTTTCACATATAATTTCCTCTTTCTGTAGTTTCTCCCCTTTAAATGAAAAATACTGAAATTAAAGATTTGATTATCGCAAACTGTTCAAATATCTGCACCACGGATACCAATAAGCACCGAAGGAGCTGGAAATTTAAAGCATCTCTTTAGGAAGAAACTTCAAAAATGTCTCAATCTATAATGTAAAATGGAAGAAAACTTTGACACTGAGTTTATGACTGAGATTTGATATGCTATAATAAATAGTTCAGTAGTTTGAGGTTTTAATCATCTACAATATAAAACAAATACGCTGAGGAACAGTAGAAATTTATTACAATACAAATACGGTAGGTCAGGCCTCAAATTAAATATTGTGCAAAGGTTTGATGCAAAAAAAAATAATTCACTCACCAAAATATTTAGTGGCAGTCAATGAATGGGTGACCAGAGTTCAACAGTTCAAAAAAAAAAAAAAAAAAGCACAGACAAGATCTAGAAATAAAGTTCTTTTCCCACTTTAAGGAAGACGTTATTAAATTCTTTTATGCTTCAAGTCACATTGTACAAAGCAACACGAGGACTGTAGATGTTAAACTGGCCAGAGAACATTTCCGATTTGTCTCATGGAAAAAAAAAAAAAAAGCAAAAGCGGAGGAGACCCTAAAATATTCCACAGCTTAATTCTGATCAAGTTAGAAAACAGCCCATTTAAATCATCATGAGTTGTACTGTAAAGTTTCTAAATCCTTACAGTGACTAAGGATTGCTGCAACATCTGCTGACATCATGTTAGCATCAGATATACGTGTGTTATATTCAGTTCATCCATGCTAACCCGCTATACTGATCTAAGTTTCATTTCACATTCCAACATAGTTTTTCCGGTTGCAGAAACATTTAGTTGAGCATAGACTAAGCACACACCAGTATGCCAATATAGTACCGAGCATCTCGCTGCAGGACTGGAATGAGACATTTTAAAATAAGAGGAAACAGCATTTCAAGTCAAGCAGCCACATTTAGAGTGATGCGAAACCTTCTAATCAGTGACATCAACAGTGTAAAGATGTTTTGGCAGATTATTTTCTTTTATGTCATTTGGTTAGCACAATCGGTTGGACAAAATATGAAGATTGCCCAACCGTTCCTTCACAGTGGCAACTTTGTTACAGTACATGATAAAAAGAGGCGCTACAGTAACGTGTCCTTCATTTGGTGTAACAGACTCAAGAAACATAGCAGAAAAACCATAAGAGAAACATCATTTCAAAAAGTCATCTAGTGCTCGGTATAATTCAGGTAGCATCAACCCAACTCCCAGAGTGCAAGCGTATAACCGAGACGATGCGTCTGCAGTATCTCCATCCCACGCTTTCATAAGGCTTTCCTGCTCAACCGCTTCTTTCACCTCAGCGGTTCAGCATCATCTCTCCCTCTGCACTCCACTGGTGCCATCCTCTTCTTCTTCTCCTCCTCCTCCTCCTCTCGAGTCCCGTCTCGCCGGGTGCCGCTGTGGGGTGTCGTCCGAGTGCGGCGCCTCGGCTCGACAGTTGGAGGAGCAGCAGCAGCAGAGCGCAGTGCAGAGGCGAGAGCGGATGGGCTGAGTGAAGAACACAAACATGACGCAGTTGGCTGCTCCCTGAGACGTGTTGCCGATACCCTAAAGGGACGCAGGAAATAAGCAGAGACACTTAACTGACCAAGAAAACTGGGAAAATTATTCGTTTTATTCATTTATATTTTTACACGGGTTTAAAAATCCTATGATGGCTAAATGTAGAAATATAGTCCCTAAAAGGGCAATATTGTGTGTTTTCCAGTCAGTCAAGCAACCGTGTTACTTTTAGTTGTAATATCAATGCTGTATATATCAGACAAATTTGACTTTCCAATTTAACGCCACTTTCTGACACTCCACCTTTATTCCACATCATCACAACAACCATTTTTCATTAAGCCTTTAACAACTGGCAGTAGTAGCAAAATGTAACAAAATGGACCTTAAAAAGCCAAGCAACTACAGTGACAGACATTTACATACACTGAATTAATGTTGGGCTTTTAATAATGCATGTGGCTACACAATAATTCTTGGTCTGTTAAAAGGCACAGAACCCATCACTCCATAAAGAAGCAAAATAAAGCACAAGCCTGCTTTCCACATTGCAAAAATGTGCAGTTATCAACACGATCGAGTCAAACGGCTTGAAGAGAACGGCTTTATGATCAGAGGAGACACTGACGGGTCTTTAAATGCAAAGGCGAGAAGTGTGGTTGGATGAGTCGAGATTATGATTAAAACCTAAGAACATTTTACCAACTGCAAACCATGGCGGTAGTTTCATCACGGCTGAGGGTACGATGCAACCACCACAGGTATCATGCATTCAGGCTCCCTATGCTATTTACACATTAGAGATGCCTGCAGGCATCTTTGTAGACATTATTGCTCGTTGCGTTATTTTGTGCAGCTTTGAGGCTGAGGGCCTGTTCACTGCCAGTACACAAAGTTGTTGGAATGATGAAGGAGAACTTCATCCAAATTCTTCTTCCCCTAATAATATTCAAGCTATTGATAAGTCTTCCTTTCACTGCACATGTTCTGCTGCAAGGAGTTTCAAACAGAAACCACCGGTCAACAGAGAGAAACTGCAGGATGACGGTGTGACGAGTCATGGGTTGAATCACATCCTGTCTCACACTCAGGATAGCAGCACATCAGCTAATCATAGCACACATGCCCTCATGCTGAAGTGTCTGCTTTCCAAATACAGCAGACAACAAAACAAAACGAGTAAATATGAAAAGACGTCATCTCCTCTAAAAGCAGCTATTTTCACACTTTAAACTCACGTGTAGTGTGACCAACACCGGGTTCTGTCTGACCGGAGAGTTAGCCAGCAGCAGGATGAAGCGCACCGTGCTCCAGATGCGCAGGACGATGAAGATGATGGGGATGAGCGTTAGCTTCACATCTGCCATGGAGGAGAAGGACTGCGACGGGGGTCTGGTGGCCAAGATGGGACGATATTCAGACAGGGCCGCATGCTGCGCCAAACAGAGGACGCGGATCAGGGAAGAAGAACGGGGGAAAAAAAGAGAAATGCAATGCATCATCAGGAACAATGGGTCAGATTTTCTGACAGGGCGTTATTTACAGTCTGACATTGGGAGGGACACTGCAGATGCTGTAATAAAGCCAATAGTTCTGTCCATCATTCAGATGAAGTTAGGTCACTTAACTTTGTGTTTAGAATGGCGTGGTCCAAATTTACTTTGTGATCAATGTTTCTTCTTTAATCAGGTTTCTTAAACATATTTTTGTAAGAAATTTTTATATTTTCCACAATCAAAAGTTCTTGATTAATGGTTTATTCAACAATAAATAAAAATGTTCGTAAAGAAATTTGCATAGCCTTTAAATTGGGAATCAGAAAAAATCTTGCATGTTGTGACCTAATAAAAATGACAGTATCTCAATTAATAGTTGATCTGTTATATTAACTGCTTAAAGACAGTAGGTCCTACTGTATATAATGATGATGGACAAGTAAAACAGGTAACTCTTGCTCTTCAGATTCAGGAGATATGTAAATAAAATAGTTGTCAGTCAAATCAGAAAAACATGTCCACACATTCACAGACAGATGGGACCCTCACCGCTCTGTGGATATGCCTCTTTATCAAGATATAGAGCACAGGAAGAGTGAGGTAGGCCAGGAACTCCCAGATCTTTCCAGTCAGCAGCATCCACAGGACCCGATCCGGAGCCTCGATCCTGACCCAGCACCAGCCCACAGACACCTCTGATGCATCGTAGCCGATCTTGTTGAGGCACACTGCGGTGACGGTGATGACCAGAGGAACGCCCCAGCTGGAAAACAAAAGCAAAAGCAGAACTAGTGAGGAGAGTCGATGTTAGTTACCTCAAAGTTTTTTTTTTTGTTTGTTTGTTTTTTTTAACTTAAACTAACGTTTGTGGGTGGTTTTCTTTCTATCCGTCTATTGCAAACCGTTTTGGTTTGTGGATGGTAGAACCTCAAACCCCACTGCCACTTTCTGCAAAAGCAGCACTCACTATTTCCTATTTAAGCATGAGCTGTTCTCTGAAAGCAACCTGAAATATGCTCTATTTGAAGATTACTTTATTACAAAAATAGGGTGGAATGTTATAAATGCCATTAAATGGACTCTCGCATTGTTGAGTGTTGCAGAAACAAAATTCCCATTAGATTACATCAGTGCTTCTCAATTATTTTCCGTTACGCCCCCCCTAGCAAGAAGAAAACTATTCGCGCCCCCCACTCCCCACCGTGACCGCGCGTCACGTATTTAAGTGACGCGCTAATTTATTTGGCTTCATGCTGTCGGCTGCGAGCATTTTTAGACACAGCAAACACGCCGGTCTTTCCTCTTCTCCAACTGTAGTCACAGTGAAGCCAAGCGCTAAATACGCTTCGTCGTATTTCCTCTTCTTAGCTTTCGGTTGACTTTCTATTAGACAGAACGCAGTCGGAGCTTTTTGTTGACTTAACACTGCTAACCAAGGCAAACTTGTTGTCTTGTAAGTCGTAAAATGTTGCACTGTCGCAAACGTGACAGAAGTAACAATGAGAGCGCCACTGCCGCCTACTGTGTGCAATTACACTTTATACTGGTATGGCCAAAAAAAAAGCCTGTTCCCCAGGGTCACACGCGCCCCCCCCAGGTATTGCACCGCGCCCCCCAAAGGGGGCGCGCCCCACTATTTGAGAAGCACTGGATTACATGCTTGATATCTTCTGTCATGTGTGCAAGGCCACTTGGTCTGCAGCAAACCTTCTATACCCAGTCCTTAATACAAACAAATACATGAATATTTCCTTTTGTCATGATGCACATTTTGTTTGTGAAGTGAAATGGTCTGGATAACGACACCTTTGCAAAGTGCTGTAAGTGAAAACCTGTTAGGAGTTTCTCAAACTTCCCAGCATGCCTCAGGGCTGCGCTCGGTTTCTCTCAAAAGCCACTCTGTTTGCAGCCGGTGTGGCCGTATACCTGACCAGGTGGAAGACCAGGACCAGGCCGTCAGCGACCCTCTGGCTCGACCGGACGATGAAGACGTAGAGGTACACGGCGATGGACACGGTCCAGAAGAAGCTGCTGGTGTTCGAGAAAGTGGATATGGCTCCCTGGGCGACGCACTGGGCCGAGTCGCTGCGGAAACTGCTCCAGACTCCGAAGGCGTAGGAGACGGCCGACAGCCAGTCGGTGACCGAGAGGAACACCAGCAGCCTCCGCGGGGTGGTCCTCAAGTCCGTCCAGAGGATGTGCGTGAGGACGATGAGCGAGGAGCCCAGGACGGACAGAGCGCAGGTACCCAACACAATGACCCGCTCGGACAGGTACAGCTCTGTCTGGGTCCCGTTGGCCATAACTCACAGCGAAAACCGGCGGCTATTTCGGAGTTTGCCCAGATAGGTCCGGCAGCGGGAGCAGCAGGCCTGTGCTGGCTGTTACCATGTTTCCCCTCAGAGGGAGAGCGAGTTGAAAACTTCCAGTCCAGGCGAGGCAAGCGAAACTTTTGGCCCAGCGCTTTAAGCCCTCCCTCCTCAAGTCCGCACGCCTCCCCGTTTGCGCCAACCGGAACCCAAAGCAGAAGTCAGTCAGTCAGTCAGCTGGTGAAGGGAAGAAACAAGTTTATTTCTGTCCCTGGATTATTGTTCATTTTCTTAACTGGTCACAGCTGTCGTGTCACCGCGTGACGTTACGGCTGAAGCGGAGATTGTTAATTGATCTAAAACGGATCGATGAAAAAGTTTCGAGAAGTGTTTTCACGTTCTTGTCTCAAAGTTTCACGTTTTAGCAGAGGCGTCACCGAGTGACGGGGCTCTCAGGGCGGGCAGTGGTCCCCTTGTATTTAGGAAAACTCCCCCCGTTCATCATTTCCTTGGATTGGTGGGTTGGTGCCATGATCTGCTGAAAATTTCTCATCATTTGTCCCATGGGAAACACCTTTAATGTGAATAACTGATGTCACATTTCCCCCAAGATAAGGAAGTCTTGCGTGTGTTTAAAGCACTTTGCCTTGTTGCTGAAATACCCTATAACAAACAAACTTGATTGATTGATTGATTGATTGAAGGTGCATTGCAGGTCCAGAGTTATTTACGAATGGCGTTTTGGGCTTTAAATGTAGCTTGTGCAGACATGTTTTATTGTTGATCTGGATTTCCTGGAAAACGTGTTTCCTTGTTGAAGTTTAGTCATTTTTTCATCTAATAATGCAAACTGTATAAAGAAGGGCGTTACTGATATGCAGTAATGTGGCTTTTTATTTCCAGAGGTTTTAAGTGTTTTTAATGCTGCTCTTCACGCCAATTGAAAAATGATCAACAATTGACTGGCCTGGATTTAATTATTGTTTTAGTTTCATTAACTACTTTAAAATGAAACCTTTGATTTTGTTCAAATGTATCTGCAACAGAAGCATTCCACCGATAAATCAAAAAGTACACGTGAATGCGAGAACATGAACTGAATTAAAGGTGTGCCGCTGATGGGCTCAGCTCTAGAGTAAAAGTTTCTCTTATCAAGCAGCTTGCAGGGCCGCTGTAATAAGATCACAACTAGTAACCTCTGTGGTGATTAATGAGCGACGGCTGCTGTTCATTGTGTCCAGAAGCTGTTAATTATTTCTTGGCCTTGAATTCGAGGGTTTCCATAGAGCGAAAATTTAGGAAGGCTTAAGAGTCAGCGACGCAGTGACCTTGTGTGCGAGCCAGCGTTTGCTGCTTCTGCATCGCTGCAGCTCAGGAAAAAAAACTGCAGCCCCCTTCTGCCCCCCTGGGTTGCAGCAGTGCAGTGAAATCTTTTTTTTTTTTTGCAGACTGCAGCAAGCGCAACATCTGCACTAGAGTCAGCATCGCATTGCGAGCAGCAGTGACGTGTTCTCCATTCACGTTCCTCTGATTCTTTATGCAAAAAAAAAAAAACACCAAAACATCAGAGGAAGAAGATGGATTCAGCTGTAATCACTGAGTGAGTCTTTGAATTGATGTGCACCTGTGTCATTTGCACTCATTAAGTCTGCTTTGTTATCCTGGCAGCATCAGCTTTTCAGGTGCGTAGGTGCTTTTACGCGGCGGCAGAGCGGTTCACACACAACACACCGTTTTTTTTGCCCCCCCCAAAACAAATGACGCAGAAGAACAAATTAGTTATTATGAAATGTTTATTTACAATTAAAATATCTAACATGGAGAAATGTCTTGGCTAATAAGTTTGATATGTTCACATTAAATTAAGGTTGGTTACAAAGAAGGATGCACTTACAACTGGAAAAAAAGGGATCCAGTACTATTAAGACGTGCTGATATTATTTTAACGCTGAAAACAAAAAAAGATTGATGGAGGTCCAATAAATGGGTGCAGACTTTAATCAACAAAAGCATGCAGAGAGGCTGTTTTCGGTCACAAGATGGCAGCAGGAGAACATGGAACTACAGCTTAGAGTTCAGAGGTTCGATGCCTTCATTCCAGTGTAAAAAAAAAAAAAGCCATGCTCTCTCTCCTTCTGTCCGTCTGCCTTCAGATTATCTCGTTTCCATTTCGAGTTTACAGCCCGGGTCTGTTTCCACGTGAAAACCTTTGTTCAGCCTCTGCACCTTGTGACGAGCATTGATCCCAGGGCGTCTTATTGCGAAGAATTTCTGCGGCAGTATACTTGCTGATTGCTTCGTTCTCACTCCTCACAACAACCAGCTAAGACACTGCCAGAGAAACACCCACAGCAGCCGCAGCCTCCCGTCCGTCCACCCGTCTGTCCGCCTGCTTTCTCTCAGCAGGAACTTGGCTGGTTTTAGCCGCACAGTTTGACCCCTTCAGTCTGGCGCTGCTGACGTTTGCATTTCACTTTCCTGGCTTTTTGGCGTCGCCAATCACTAGAAGACCTACGGAATGGAAGATGTGGGGAAGAAACAGGATTGAGTATTATTTTGAATGGATGTGTTTTCATGGCGCATAAAACATTCAAGTGGGTAGGAAGTCTTTGCTCCCTCCTCAGTAACCCAGAGCTTGTTTCTGAACAGATACTTCATGTCCCTCCAGCCTTTTTTCTGCAGCATCACTTGAAGTTTGCATAACTTGGGCAAACACAAACACCCGTGAACTAAGAATAGATCTGTCATGACTCATGATTTTGCAACAAAACCTTGGTCTGGGCTAGCTCTCACCTACTTGTGTTCACTCGAGTGAACCCGTTGTGTGTTGATGTACCTCAGGAACAACAGCTATTCCCCCTCCTTTGCCCCCTCCCCCCTCTCCTTGGTATCAGTAGCTTTCGCTCGCTGCAGAGCTATTTTAGGCCAGCTGACCGCTGCTGTCTCCGTGTGGGATCTGCTTCTCCGACAGGACAACGGGAACACTGGAGACCGGCGTTGCAGCCGCTAACGAATGGAAAAGAGGGACTTCTGATTTGGATTCTTCAGTCGGGTTATATCTGTCGTCCGTCCTCCGCGTGCTTGTGAAATTTGTTTCACGTTTATGCTTGTGCAATTGGAAAATCCAGAGCTTGATTTGTGCCTGTAGGCGCTGGGTCTTGTCTGATGTAAAATAATTTAAGCGATTACTAAAGCGATCTGCAACGTTCACTTTTTAAATGATTTATTTTTATTTTTTTATGAAGAATGAAGGACTCTTCTCCTGTCCCGCAGAGAGGCACAGGGACTCCTCTTGACCTGCTTTCTGATGCCAAACAGCTGCATCCGCGTTCGTCTGTGTCTTTGTCTGGAGGCCTGACGCCGCCTTCGCTGAGCACATGACGACAGGGATTCCTCCCTGCTCCCGCCCTGTTGTAATCCCTAATCCAGGGCCGAGGAATGCCAATGAAGACGCAGCGCCGCTCGCTAAATGAATGAAAGGTTGCCGCTCTGCTTCGGAGCCTCCGCTCATTAAGAAAAAGAGTTGTGAAGATTATGTTTATGAATGTTGTGAGCAACTGAAACTGTCATTTGAGATGATTGCAACAGGTAAATGCATCTCAGCTGATTGACATTGGTTCATTCACAATGTTTTTGTTTTTTTTAAATAGAGAAATGTAAATGTGTTTGAAAGACAACTCCATCTGTTCATTCATTCAGAGCATGTTCAAGGCTACGAAGGTGGAATTTAACTTTAACATTTTTAAAATTTAAATCAACTGGGTATGAAAATACTGTATGCTTACTAATTTATTGAGTAGTTATTTCTTGAATGAATTAGGTTATGTTACATAAATATGGAAGTAGGTAATCTCAACAGTTAAGTCATAGGATGAAATTGTCACGTTAATTAGTGCGTTTAAATTTAGCTCAAGACAAATTTACTCAAACGGACTATTTGTATTTTATCGTATTGATCTATTATATAGAGGTGGGACAAAACATGTTTATACTTCTAACAGATTAAGATTAAAACTATTTTTGTTCAACAATAAAGTTTGCTTCTAATAGGAAATGAAATGTGCAACTTTCAAAAAATGTGTGAAGCAATGTAAAAGGAGCATCGGTTTTCAAGAATAGTTTTTATTTAGATGTGAAATAAATGAAATGCCAAATAGCACTTATGCTATTGTCAATAATCAATGGAAAAATCTTTAATGGCATTCAAGCTCTTCCTGTAGATGCTGAACAGCTGACAATTTATCTTTGGCAATGAGGTCGTTTAAGGTTGAAGGTTTGTCATCAAACTTAACATTTTAGGGTGATGACAAAGATCCTTTATCATATTTTAGTCAGGACTCTGGCTGTGTTCCTCCAAACATGCTGTTAAAACTGGAAGCTTCCCTTAAACCTGTAAAAACTAAACTTTTCTTTTATTAAAAGAAAACATTGGAGACTCTACAGTGATTAGTTCTTTTCTCCATTGTTTCATTAAAATATTGCATGTTAACGTATTGCTTAGGAAGTAAACAGAGAGTAAGTCGTTTGAAAATAATTTTGCATTTTTAATTGGAAAAAATAAAATAAATTCTGTCAAGGCTATGAATTGTGGACTTAAATGTGTGTAGCTGTAAAAAGACATAGTCATACATTTGGTGGTTTATCTTGAAATATAATAAACATAACATTCATTAATATTTAGAGTAATTGTGGGCCACTCTGGGATTTACTCCCACTGATGTAAAAGGAGTACGGAAGAATATATTTTATCCTCAAGTAAGATAAAAAAAACATATTCTTCTTCTGGCGATTATGATTATTTATAACATTTAAAAACGGTGACGTTGTTTTTATTTTGTCACCTTCTAAGGTTAGCAGTAGATACTTTGGGAATCTTTACCTTCTTTGGCAATATCTCTCTTAATAATGCAAATTATAACTAAGCACATGTTTATTTTTTCATTCCTCGTCTCCAGCGCCGCTCTGCGCTCCTCGGTTGCACTCGTGTCAGCTCACGGCGCTCAGTAGTCATGTCTCTCTGGCTTGGTCCCTCTGCGCTCACATAATCACCTTATGGCTGACAAAGCTGTTAGTATTTATTGTATAGGGAGGTTTCTGAATAGTAGTGGAGCTTTTAATTTATAAATTAGAGGCTGGAGTCCTTTTAATTCAGCGTAATCAGAAGCAATAAATAATAACTGCTTCTGTGCTTTGAAAAGCATTTTGTTTGTGAGTAAGCGAGTCATGGGGCAGTGTGACCTCATATTAATATG